TGGAAAATACGGTTCATCAGGTCCATGAAAACTGCTGGAGCATTACTGAGGCCGAAAGGCATGACGACGAACTCGTAATGGCCGTAACGAGTCCTGAAAGCGGTCAGAGCAATATCTGACTCCTTAATCTTCAGCTGGTGGTAGCCTGATCACAAATTAATCTTTGAAAACACACAGGCTCCCCTCAACTGATCAAATAAGTCGTCGATCCTGGAAGCGGATACTTGTTCTTGATCGTCAACCGATTAAGATCCCGGTAGTCGAGACACATGCGCATGGATCCGTCCTTCTTCTTGACAAAGAGAACGGGTACTCCCCAAGGTGACACGCTCGGTCGGATGAAACCGAGCCGTAATAACTCCTGAATCTGCATTTTAAGCTCCTGCAACTCCTTAGGCGCCATACGGTACGGGGCTTTTGATACGGGGCCGGCTCCTGGAATGAGATCGATAGAGAACTCCACCTGCCGGTTAAGCGGTCCTCCTAGAAGCTCGTCTGGGAACACGTCCACAAACTCACGAACAACTGGGACATCGTGAGGTGATCGTGCTTTCTGAGAATCATGGACAAGGCTCACCAAATAACCCTGGCAGTTGCCTCGTCGCAGCAACTTGGTAGCTTTCGCCATTGAAACGACCTGGGGTAATGAACGATTCTTGCTGCCAAAGAAGGTAATCGAATCATCTCCCGGAAGATAGAGAGTAATCTCCCTCTCATGACATCTGATATCTGCACGATAAAAGGATAACCAATCCATCCCGAGAATGAGGTCGAAGTCCCTCATCTCAAGAACATACGCGTCGGCAGACAATGAACGACCACTGATGGAAAGGCTGAGATCTGAAGCTTTAGCTGAAGTCACTATCTTTCGTCCCGAGGCTAAACTCGCCTCGAGAGGATCGATAGCGATGGTAGCGTGAACTCCGATGGCATGAAGACATTGTCGTGAAATAAAGGAGTGCGTCGCTCCAGTATCGAACAAAGCGAAAACAGGAATATCATTAAGCACAACCATCCCTGACATAGTACCTGGCTGCTGCTCGGTCTCGACCTGATCGACTGCGTAAACTCAGGCCTGCTGTCTGCCCCTCTGCTGCTGCTGCTGCTGCGGAGGCCTCTGAGCCTGCTGACGGGGCTGCTGCTGCTGCTGTGGCTGCTGAGGCTGCTGGGGCTGCTGTGCCTTCTTCGGACAACGATTAGCAAAGTTTCCGGGCTCATGACAGTAGTAGCATATATCC